CATCTTCAAATCTGTGTGTGTGTGTGTGTGTGTGTGTGTGTGTGTGTGTCCCCTGTAGGTGGGATCAGAGAGTGCTCAGGGAGCTCAGTCCAACCTGACAGAGCTCATCCTCAGCCGCCTCGCCGCTTCCGCCTCCAACCTCACCGCCTTTCAACAGGCTGCGCCGCGCTCCTTCATGATCAGCGCCGACATGGCACACGCCGTGCACCCCAACTACCAGTCAGTACACACACACACACACACACACACACACTATCTATCTGCTGTTAACTTCTATCTTCTTATTCAAAACTGTTTTGTCCAATGAAAACGACACTACAGGCACCTAAAGTCAGACTGTGAAGAATCATTATCAGAGAGTTGGAGTTGATTTCGATTTTTAACCAAACTGTTGATTTTCTTCTTCAGGGAGAAGCATGAGGAGAACCATCGACCAGCTTTCCACAAGGTCAAGATTGATTGATTTATTGATTTATTTAAAAAGGGCTAAACACAAACACTGTTTTGTATCATTTACATTTAAGGTAGCTTTACAGACATGTATTAGATTTAACATAATAATCCTAAGTACTGTAAATAAAGCTTATTTTATTTTTCCTTCTATGTAGAAGATGAGTTCGATTTCGTATTAAACTAGTGGTTTTACAAACCATTAACTTTTATAATAACATAAAAATATCAAATATGTTTTAGTTTTAGTGAATACAAACCCCTTCCTGTTATTCCGTTTCTTATTATTTGATGGCATTCTTTGGTTTCCAGTGACATTAGATTCCTAACTTTAAGACCTTAGTTTGGGTCAGTATTTGATTATATATCATCAGATTAGTTGATGAGTCAATAGTGAAAAATGATCCGTTGCAACCTTATTTGACTTTTTTCAAGTACTCGTTTTTGTCATTTTCCACTCACACGGTGTGAAACTCATGAATGTAATAACAACATTCACATTTATGCAATCAGGGCCCAGTGATCAAGTTCAACAGCAACCAGCGCTACGCCACTACGGCCGTCACAGCTTCCGTTGTCAGAGAGGTCGCCAGCAAGGTCGGGGTGCCTCTGCAGGTACAGTGTGTGTATGTGTGTGTAAGATTACAGATGAATTGTTTGCAGACGGAGCCTCGGCAGCTCCTCGTCTCTGTGTGAGTCTCGATTCTCTCAGCAGCGAGCACAGATCTCCTAGCAACATGGCGAGCTGCTCCAGGATGATGCGGAGAGGAAAAGACAAGAATTCATGCGTGAAATAAAGACTCGGGACATAAAACAGTTAATGAACATGAATTATAACAGACAAGAAAACATTTATATTTCCAGGGCTGCAGAGGAGTCACAAATCAAAGATTTTTCTACATCAGTATATACCTTGAATAACGTTATTTAACGGGATATGATGTGAATTTTCTTCAGAATAATATGGTTCAGTTCACTTCACATCATTCCTACACAAAGCACAAGTACTAAACAAAAGACTAGCGATACATTCATTAGCCTTTTTCCAGTCCTGTGAACAGAACCTGTAAATAACCTCTGAGACGGAGAACAAGAGATAAAAGAGCTGAGAACGTTTGTTTGGGTCGCAGCGAGTGATAAAGTCAGCCGGGGTTTAATGACTGCGGGGACACGTGAGGAGCTTCCGTTAAACATTAATTCATTCATTTGTCTGTTGTTGCTCAGCAGAAGTGAGGCTGGAGTCCAGATCTTTGTTCCAGTTTATTCTTTATTACAGTGTTCTGACTAACTCATAAATCCCAGTTAGTGTGTTTGCATGCAGTGCCCCCCAACAGCCACTAGGGGGCAGACAGGCTGATTTTTCATCTTAGTAGTTTGTATTTTGAATAGTGTTCCCTCAGTTTGACCTGTTTGATCCGTCCTGCAGGATGTGATGGTCCGTAACGACAGCCCGTGTGGAACCACCATCGGACCCATCTTGGCCGCCCGCCTCGGCGTCCCCGTGGTGGACATTGGAGCTCCGCAGCTCTCCATGCACTCCATCAGGGAGATGTGCTGCACCTCCAGCGTCCTGCAGAGCACCACCCTCTTCAAGGTCTGTAAAACAAGCATGCCTTCTCTCAGTAGAGGGATGTTTGCTTCGGAGTATTTCAGCAGCAAAACAAACTCACTTATAAAGCAGTTGTTCTCAGATTGTGGAGATCTTTACTCCAAATGAACACTAAAACTCTGGATTTGATTTGTATATGTTCCTCGCACTCGTATTCTGCTGATATTTGATATAAATTAATATAACTCCTCTAGAATAACTCCATAAGAGTTGAATCAACACCTCTCTGACAGCCTGAATTAAGTATTAAATCAGTTTATCCTAGATTTACCGATATAAGCTGGATGGATATACATGTACCATGAACCAGTAGATGGTCTGATTTTAAAGTTATGAATCTGTTGACTGAAGCTTGGCTGCTTTCTCGTGAAAGGTCAAAGCCAGGGCGTTAGGGCAGCGTGGCTCTCCAACAACGCCAGCACGATTCACAGTGCACCCTCAAATCTAAAATTTTTGGTCCGGAAGATATTTGGATTCTATAAGAAGGAAGGAAAGTTGGACCAAATTCTGTCCCTGACATTGATTCAGTCCAGCAGTAACACGACAGACCTTAACACTCCCCTGGTGTATCTGGATACGTATCAGATTGTCTTAGAAAGGAGAGATGCACACTACTTTATCTCCGTTCAGGTTAGCGGAACATTCCAGTGTGCTTCTTCCATCGGCCCACAGCGCAGGAGATCTGGGTGGTTTTCTATTTCTATTTTTGGCTTCATACGCCACCGAGCAGCTTTCACAATGAATAGAATCCCGCCTCCAGCTGCTGTATCCAGCCCCCCTAATACATCCGTGGTTTTACAGAACAACGTTCTTACCTTCTTCCTTACACTACTCTTCATCTTTGGTCCTGTGTGCTTCCCCCTGCAGGGTTTCTTCGAGTTGTTCCCCGTGGTGAGGAACACGCTGGTTGTCGACTAGAGCCAGAAGAACCGCTACCAGTGGCAACAAAGGATTACTTTTACTGCAACACATCAGGGCTCAACACGCACTGATGAAATTTCATCCCCCAAAGAAGAAAATCACAAACGGCTCAAAGCACTTCCTGATCTTTCTTATGAACTGAAATTGTTTAGAAAATAATAAAATATTGCAAAGTTTTCCTGAGTCGTCCAGATTTCTTTCTGTCCGTCAGAACAAAGCAACATGTGACTGTCAGTGAATGTGGAAGGTTTCATCCTGCAGGAGAAACTCTGAGACTTCTGGTCCACGTGAACCACGTCATGATGCAGAGAGACAGGAACTCCTCCACGCTGCAAGAAATGCAGACTTTGAGTTTTCTCACCTGATATATCTTAGGAAGTAGAGGAAACATTTGTCAGCCTGACAGAAATCAAACATCCTGAAACAACTAAAGAAACTGAATCAATCTGCAGTAAATACATTTGAAGTGTCTGGGTCAGTGTTGAGACTGTAGGCCAAGAAGTGTTGATAAAACTCTTAGTGGCAAATAAATATTCCTTTTTTAAGAATTTTAACTATTCTCTGAGCTACTACACATAAAACAAACTGCAAACGAGTGTCTGTACTGAAAACTTAAAGCTTTATTAAACTTTTAGATCCACCATTTGTTTAAACAATTTACTTTTTTTCACATGAAAACGTTAAAATACGTTTGCAAATCTATAAATTCTTAGCAGATATTTACTGTAGATAAATTTAACAAGTTTAATGTTAATAAATCTCTAAAATTGTGTAAAATTAGTGACAGTAAAAAAGTTGTCTGTAGTGTTACATGGATTTGTTTGTTAATTGACTGATATCTTGTATAATTATGGAAATTTTAAAAAAATTCTGATTAAAATAAGAAAAATCCAATAATGAGAATAAGTGTTTGCCTGTATTTATAGCTAGCTTTTTACACGTGTAAATATATTTAATTAAACATTAATAATACAAAGTTTTAATTGTATTATTAGGACAGAATTTGCAGTGTGAACTGGAGAAAGAAATGTTTAAGTAACTGAGACTATTTATTGTAAAGGTAATTGTACTAATTCCATTCAGTTAATTGAAGCATTTCTCCAAACTTATTTTAAATGTGTGAACAGAATTTATCTGAATAAAGTCCCTTAAATGCATCTTTATCCAAATGTTACCACTTGTGTTGAATTTGAGAACTGATTTTGATAATGCTTGCACTGTTCTACTGATATAAAGTCAGAATGTGTCAATGGAACAAACTGGAATGAACCTAAAACACATTTAATTTAAGTTTGGAGTTAATTCATGTTTATTAAGATGTGCTGCAGGTTGTATCATTCTAGCAGGTGAAGTCTAAATATTTCTTGCAGTGTGGAGCCTGGTTTTCCAACCAACCCCTCTCTCCTCTCTTCCTCTCTCCCTCTT